GAGAGAAGACTTTAATTCCACTCCTTCGAGAGTCTCCTCACACCATCGCAGAGCCGTCCCTGCTGACTGGTCTGCTCCACAAGTCAAACCACACCACCACAAACCATCAGAGTCTCCCTCTAAGACGAGCCCTGAGGACATCGGCACAGCTGGACTGCTCGGTCCATCGGAGGCTTGTCCTACGTTGGACGAATCAACGTCGGCGAGGATCTCCACTGTTGTGGAAACGCTCCGTCAGATGGCTGATTCTATCCCCGGACCGAACCAGTCTTGTTTGGCACAGGGCAACTCAAACCTGTCACCTGTACTTCCACATCTGATCCCAATCTTCCCTGGGACAACCCCGCCGCTGATTGAAACTTGCAGTTGGCCCTCATTCCTCCTCCAGACTCCGTCACCGATTCCTTCTTTGACACCTGTGCTCCTACACACTCCCTCTCCTCTCCATTACAGCTGCTGGATGAACATGACCCCCGTCACCTCCGTGCCAAGCCCCGCATTCGGGTTTTACCAATATCTTTTGGTCCCTGTCAGCCAGTGTTTAGCTCCTTGCCCTTTGTTCGTCCTGCCCGAGTGTCGTCCTAGCTGGTGCTCGTGTCCACACATGGTGTCCGCACATCCTCCCTGCATTCCAGACCTGTAAGGGACACAGCAGACAACACCATTTTTTAAAGAATTCTTGGTGTTATTTTTAAAATCCTGATTGTGTATTCAGGGTCCAAAGAGAGACAGCCCGGGAAGTCAGCGAGCAGTTCAACATAACGCTGGAGGTCACCCCACCGGGGATGAGGAACGCGCAGGATATCATGTGGGCCGGGTCAGAAGGTCAGAGACAGTCCCATTTTTGAAGTATATAGAAACATCTAGTTTTTGACTCATTTTCCAAGTTAAATTTACAGATTATGGGGATGAAAAATAATATTTAGAAGGGAGATTTGTCCTCTCAAATTTCCTGCACTGTCCTTTCTCACAGAATATCCGCATATGCAAAGTAAACCTGATCAGGAGGACAACCTGCAAGCCAGCTACACAGAGGTCGAAACAGAGTCTGATGCACCATGTGGATCTACCTGTTTTGCTGAGGAGACACTGGCTGAACAGGCCTTTGAGGATTTCATGGAATCCCTCTGCACCAAGGTACCTCAGAAGAAAAAAAAAAGTGCTAATTTGAATGATTATTTCCTGGTTTTTCTTAAGTCTATTAATTTTGCACAGGAGAATGAAAATGAGGGGAAGGAGAGGGAGGACAGCTCAATTCAGGAGTTCCTGGACAGACTGTGCAGTGATGATGGACTCATCCAGGAGGTCAGTAATCCGAGGTTATAATATAACAATTACACTTGAAAGAGGAGCTTCAGATTTGAGTTTGTTGCCCTTTTACCTCTGATGTCGGTTAAATCTGCCAACTATGTGCAAAAAGTTGTCTGTCCTAAAGAAATGTTGGCAGGAGCAGTAACATCCACCATCAGAAATCACCAACATAGAACCTCTAACTAAGGGGAAATGTCTGGTGGCTTGTCATTATTTTCCTAAAACGGTGTTAAAAAAAAAAATTAAGATACCAAAATACTTTTTTGTAAGATCATCAGGATATGAAAATGTGATTGACACATCTTTCCTGACCATCACCATGGGCTAAAAAGCTAAAATCTTAACTGTGTTGCAACCATGAGGCTGTCAAATTGCATTATGGGAAATGTAGGATAAACAGAGATTTTAAGGGGCGTGGCTTACAATACAGATTAAAAATCAGCATACCTCCACCTCGGCTGATTCAATTGTAAAGCTTATTTTTTATATCATGTACCATGCAAGCACAGAAATTATTGAAGCACAGCAACAAATTAATTTCTTTTAACTCTCAGGTGGACTCAATACAGAATACAGAGAACTTGGACTGCCCCCTTTCTTCAGAGCCCGAGCCCATTGACTTTTTTCCACTAAGGGAACTCCAGCAAGAGGTAAGAAAAAAAAATGAAGACACTTGAATTGTATTTTTGTCTTAGTCATGGAGTTTAGTCATATTAGAAGCTAATTGTTTGATATTTTGAAATAAAAATTATGTACACATCCTGACAGCCTATACTCTGCAGTTAGATTTGCACTAAGCGTATGTTTTGTTGGCAATTACAGGTGTAGTTACAGAGATACCAGTTTATAGCTACAGTTAACTTAATATAATGTAGCTTTACATACCATTAATGCTATTAAAAAGCTACTAAATTAGATAGCTTGTTTTAGCTAGATGTACCTTATAAACACACACAATTGCGTGAAGTAAACCGAGTTATCTTTAATTGTATCTTTAGTCTCTGAGTGACATCTTGGAGCAGCTATGGAATCCACCTTCTGGTGACTCCAACGTTGTATCTTCTGAAACTGAAGAAAAATCTCTGGAAACTTTACTTGTCGAGGCACCAGAACAAAGGACTCATCCAACCATTTTGGATCCTCCAAGCACACAGATTGACACAAATCCAAACCACAATGGACGAACACTTTTTCTAGAAGAGCCACTGCCAACTGATTCCAGAATGAGGTACTACAATGTTGAAAACAGACCCAGTTGCGATGGCTCCCTCTTCATGGACGATGGTTTCACTTGGCATTTGGAGTTTTTCCTGGATATTTCTTCACACAACAGCCTTACATCTGAACTTGATGCAAGAGAGTCAGCTGCAATGGTTGAGAAACTTTCTTCCCTTTCCCCCTCAAGGGATCTGTTGCAAGAAAGCTCAACTTCAATTTTTAACCTTGATGATACAGAGTCGGATCAGGCACCTCAAAAGCTTCAAGAACAACCTTGGATATGGGATCCTCCTTCCTATGAGACCCCCTTGTCCCCCAGTGTTTCAGAGTCCAATGGGGATCTTCAAACCATAACTAATTTGTTGTCTGTCCAACCAAAGTCAGCCAACCCTTTGAGTGCCCTGGTTCTCACAGCTATGCCTCAACCACCAGCTCAGACAAAGGAGCCGGGGGAACAACATAGTTCGAAAACCACCAACCCAAAGTCCTCTCGTTTTGAGGACTACCCAGTTCCTGTACAAGCAAATTCATCTTTCCATGCTGATTCCAAAGCAGAGTCCTCTGATCCCCTAGTTGATGCCAATCTATCCGAGACACCAAAAGATCAAGAGGTTCCTCAAGAGTTTGCATCCTGTGTTGTTTCCTTAGAAATCAAGACAGGAGAGTCAAGTGAAATAGTGAGAAAATGTGGCAGAACTCTAGGAAAAGGTCTTGAAACAGCAGTTACACAATTGCAAATGGATTCGGAAGCAAGAGAAGAAGGAGGAACTCAGGAGGCTACTGAAGGGAAGGAGGAGAATAAAGGAAACAGATGCAAGGGTAGGACAAACGGCAGACGCAGTCAGAGGCTGTTGGGTCAAATCAAGAAAGAAGAAGCAAGTCTTTGGAAACCAATCGAGGATAACACTGGGAAACCGTCACTATTCACCTCAAAGAAAGATGAAAAACCAAGGAGACGGTCCTCGAGGGGAAGGCAGTTACATGAAAGAGAGTTGGGTGATTTTGCGGAGCAACTTTCAGAGATGGGGGAGCAGGTACAAAGTCAAACGTTTGTAGAGGAGATAGATAGTCAAAGGTTGTCAGGTCCAATTGAAGGAAAGGAAGAAAGAGTAGGACTGGAGATACCAGTCATGAAGAGCACCCAAGAGAAAGACGAAAAACCAAGAAGACGACGATCCTCAAGAGGAAAGCCATCCCCAGAAAGAGAATTGGGTGTATTTGAAAAGACAAAAACTGCACAGCAAGTTTCAGAGATGCATCATCAAGAGCCTGCAGGGGAGAAAGAAAAACTTAAGGTTGAAGACGAGAGTAAGTGCGAAGGACAATACCCCCAAAGTGAGCCCTGAGATTGAGGCAGAAAACGCTCTTTTAACCGACATTGCACAAGAGGAGAAAGAGTTGGATAAGGGGGCCACAGAAGAGGAAGGTATTCCAAGGTCCAATGTCGAAAGAACTAGAAGCACAACAAAAGAGGAACGACTGCACCAGAGCCCTCTTCCTGAGCATGCTGGAAGGTATTTCAAACAATTAGAGATAAAGCCTTCACCAAAGAGAGAAATGCAGGATGACCGCGAACTTGAAGATGCAACTGGACGACAGACTCTGTTGCCTTCGAGTCCAATGAAAAGAAACAAAGGCAGCAGAGATGAAGAAGAGAGTTTGGGAGGGGAAGATGATGCGGATGCTACTGGATGCAAGACCAAAGCAGTCAAGGTTTCAGAGGACTGCGATCCTGTCGCTCAACCTGAATCTCCTCTCAAGTGCCCAAGGATTCAGACAAATACTCCAGAAGAACCACCAGAAGATGGACAATCCAACAAGATTAATGTGTTGTCTTTGGTGATCACCTGCGAGAATAACCCACGTTTAAGCCCCATTCAAAGTTCAGACAAAACAGTCACATCAAGTGGAGGTGATGTGACGGGAATCGAAACTTGGGACTTTTACAGTATGAGATCGGGGACTGCCAAGTTGAACGTGTCAAAAAGGACTCAAGACAACAAGGCACCCAAGATGGCACATTACCAATCAAACCCTGAAATGAGTCAAGACCAGACAGTGGATGGTGATGAACGGCTGAACACAGGAAGAGATGCTGGATGCCTAAGTCTTGGACAGTTGAGTCCGACAAAAAGAAGGGCTTCCAAAGAGAAGGAGAGCGGGGGACATCAGAGGGGAATTGTTGGATTGAGTCCACTGAAAAGAGGAAGGTGGAGGAGCAGAAATGAGGCAAACTTGGACGGCGGCGGAGTGCAAGACTCAACTGCCAGCGAGGGATCTGAAGACAAAGATGAGGTGGGCACATCTTGCTGTAAGAAAGGAAAGACAGAAAGAGGAAAAAGGCTGAGAAGTGGGAGGAAGATTGATAATTAATGTGAACAAAAGCCAAGAGAACAAAAGAGACATCCAAGGAGCACAAAGACACTTTGAGTGTGCAGATGTGTGGAGACGAACGACACAGCAGAACCTCCTTAAAATAATTCACAGTTTAATGAATTGTTAAATATTGAAAATATGTTTCAATTAAATAAAATAAACTTCTTGATTTACAGAGTGTTACATTTCTTTTTTTTGCACAGACCGTTGTCCCGTTGTAAAAACATTCACTATACACACATAAGAGGCATTAATATAAATAACACAGTTCATGGCTTCAATGGTATAAAACAGTTAGAATGTCCCGTTACAGCATCTGGATCAGGTTTTTCTGGAGGGTAATTAAGACAAGTTGGTAAACATGAACAAGCCATCAAATATAAACAGGAACCGGATTTTAGATCTCTTCTCGGTTTCCTTATGGTTTTTTTTAGGAATAAAAAGTTACAGGCACAGATTTAAGATTACATCCAGACACACACACACACACACACACACACTTATAAAAACTATTCTTCGTCTTTTCTTCGTCCATGGTTATTCTGCTTCACTTCGTCCCGCTGCGCTCCAAAGTAAATCACAAACTGAAGTGGACATGTGATAAAAAAAAATGCTCATTCAAACTTTTTCTTGTAGTCAACAGATCCATTGCTGTTGTGCATTTTTTCATTGTTGTTCACAGCCTTCTCATTGACCGGCTGAGAGCCCGCCTCCACAGGCAGCAAGTACTCGTTCACCAATCTCTGATAGGTCGGGTGGGTTGTTAATGCTTGTAGCAGGTGTTCTGTAGAAACAAGGTGGACAGAATTAGTGTCTTTATACTTAAGGTTTGTCTTAATGTCTAACTCCTTTTTTACAGCACTGAATGAGCTTTTAGTCAGGGAGTCTTTGACATGCAGGAAAGGAGCCACAGGTCGTAATCAAACCCGGGCCGCCACCAGCGTCCCAGTCAGGGACTCTTTAGTAGACAAAGTGATCTCTATGGAGACTACAGCCCTTCAACTTCACAAGAAAACAAACAATTTGAAGATAACATAGAAAGCATTGAGTATGAAATTAGGATAATGTATCTGTAGAAATGTGACGATTCAGTTATTTTAAATCAAACGAAGAAGAAGAATGAGAAAAGCTCTAACATCACTTTTCCATCTTACTGTAACCAAACTATTTGCTCTCATATCGTCCCGTCATCTGAGCTCCCACTGATAAAAACAGTAAGTTGCTTTCCTTGGAGACACCCACCTTCAGTAAGTTGGCCATCATGGGAGGCTTGAGTGTAAAGCTCAGCTGTGTGGTGCTGAGTATGACCCAGTAGTGCCCCCATGAGGTCTGACAGCTCCTCTGCACTCAGGCTGCCTCTGCCCTCTCTGTCAAACAGCTGCAAAAACAAAAGAACAGGAACTTAAAAACAGAAAAACAAAAACACTGGAGCTTATTATGATTGTTCTTAGAACATTCAGGACTTACAGTAGAAGCTTTATGAAGCAGCGACTTGAAGCTCATGAATCCTGACAGAGCAGAAATGCTAAAATAGATCCATCTGAGGTTCACACTTTTCTCCTGAAAACAGAAAAAAAAAAACACAAATGATTTCATGTGATTAAACTTTTAGTCATAGTGTTAGAATACATTTTGAAACTGCTTCTACCTTGGAGTAGAAACGCCAGATGTCGACAGCTGTCTGTTTGTCCGTCAGCCCGAGGATAGAGGAAGCTCCTCTGTGCTGACCACTGACCCCTCAGCTCCTGCCTGACACCTGTCAATCATTCTCTCCAGCGCCGCCTCCACTTCCTGTGCTCCCAGACTGAGACAGAGACAAAGACGGTGAGAAGAGAAGAAGAAGAAATATGTGAAACAGAGGCTGTGTCTGAAATACAGATACCTAGTTATTTTAACATCCTAAGATAAGATATTAAACATATAACAGCACGGTTACTTTTATTTGCATGTCGATTGGTTGGCTGGCTTGAGAGCTCCGCCGTCCTTTAGACTGAGAGCTGCAATGCATTCTGGGGCGGTTTAGTACAACCAGTGTGCTCCCGTCTCGAACTTTAAATGACCGCCGAGCGAAAGCGAAAGTAAGTCAGATGGTCGCTTACCCGTGCTCGTGCAGCAGCGAGAGAGTGTCCCTAGCGGGCGAGTCCAGAGGGAGAGAGAGACCGCCCAGTTTACTGACGGGAACGCCGTAATCCATCAAATACTGTGTAGCTGGGATTCCCAGAGCCCTGAAGAAACATCAGAAGAGAGAATTATAACAAAAATATGACACTTCATAAAGCTTCTACATCTACAGTTATAGAATCCCCCCCCCTCCTCTATCTAACATGACTCATCATTTATAGTCACCTTGTGCACACAGACAATAAAACTTCCCTGACTGTACCTGATACGCGGTCATAAAAACAGCTTTGAATCCTGCTACTCACTTGGCCATGAGTTTCTGAACGTTGTCAGCGTACAGGCCGGGGTCGCTCTTCTCCTCCTCGGACGGCGTGTAAACGGGCAGAAACTGCGGCACAACAACAACACACGTTTAGGACAGGGTGATGATGTCAGCGAGGAGTCATTAGGAGTTGATTCTGGAGGTGAACCTCTCCTCCTAGTCGTCTTACCTCGATGGTCATGTTGGTGTAGAACTGAGAAGTCGTGTGCCACAGAGCCTCGTACCTAATGGAAACAAAAATGACATCACATGTAAACACCTGAACACAGTCAATGTGTGTCATCGTAGAAAATCTACCCCAAGAACAGTGTGTGCTGGCTGCTTGGGCTGCAGCTAACGCTAATGCTAATCCAGTTATTATTATGTGTTTTTTGAATTAGCAGCTAAATGTAGTTTTTTTTTTAAGTTGTTCATATTTAACTTGGCTGAAAGGAGAAGCAGGTCGCTTACTGCCTGATCTGTTCAGATTCATATACTAATAAGATACTGTGTATGTTAAAAGAGGCGTTGGATGATATTAAAGGGTAAAATGGGTTAAGCCAGGGGTGGGCAACTGGTGGCCCAGGGGACACATGCGGCCCCCATCAACCCTCAACGTGGCCCTCAGGTCAATTTTTACATATCAGTCACTTAAAAAACATGAAGAAAATATGAGAAAATCTGCCATGAAATCATGAAAACCAGAAATATGTTCATTATAATATTTGATCACTGGTATGTGTCGAGTTAAATTTGAGACATAATCGACTGTAATCGTTTTTTTTGGCCCTCTGGCAGCAGTGAGAATTAACTGAACGTGGCCCTTGCTGTGACCAAAGCAGACATTTCTGATTTATGCCAGAACATGGACGTAGAAAAAAAAGGTGCTGTGGGTAATTTAGAAATGATGTCATCAAATCGTTTGTGTCCAGTAGAGCGTTCTCTGACTCCATCGTCTACAACGGCCTCAGCTCAGTCTGCACAGCTGATCGAAGACGATATAAAAAGAAACGTTAAATTACCGTTACTAATGTTGACAATGTTTCACTCTTCATTTAAACAGAACTTAGATTCCAGTAAAAACGCTCCTAATATGAACTCCTTGTGTTTCTGTGTTCAGGTTAGTTGCTCCTCTCCCCGCTCCTACAAAGCTTTAAACCGCAATGCATGATGGTATATATTGCTCGGATAGTGACCATCGGTTGAACACTTCTTATCACAATGCATTGTGGGATACATTGAGTGGACTACAATGGGTGATGATTATGCTCACACAGAATTCGGACACCACTACAGAAAATGTCGAGGTCACTGTATGGTGAACAGGAAGTGATTTCTGACACAGCGTCTGTTGCCTGAACACATCTGGCGAGAGGTTCAGGGACCAGTTTGTTGATCCGTTTAAAAACGACTTTAATGAAGAGTGCACATTTACACCTCTGCCACGTAAGACCGTCTCTTAAGGTTCAAAGGTGGAGAAATGCTCGGATCTGTCTTTGAAAACGGGGGAGTGTCTCTTTAAGTTGAACTCACCAGGCTGTTCCTTTGTGTGTCCAGCGTACGGTATCCTGAGGAAGAGTCGTAAAGAAATGGAATCAAACAGTGAAAACAGAGTTAAACTTCATCCTGGTGACTCACTGAGAGTAATGTATGTCATTCTGCTCACTTTCACTCTTACACACCCCTGACAGGAAGCAGTGTGTAAACACACGGGGGGCCTGAACAAACATTACAGCACGTCCATAAACACAGCTACAGGCTGATAGACACACACACACACACACACACACACACACACACACACACACACACACACACACACACACACACACACACACACACACACACACACACACACAAGTTTAAACTGTGTCTGAACGAGCTGCAGAAACAGAATAAAGCGGCTGCTGTACCGTGTGTGTGTGTGTGTGTGTGTGTGTGTGTGTGTGTGTGTAATGTAAAGCTATGCGACTTGCTGCTAGCCATGCAGGTAGCTCAATATTTGAAGAGAGGAGAGGTTGACTTTTGCTCGAGTTAAATAGTTTGCATCGAACTGTCATGTTTGTAGGGATTTCAACCGATTGGATGCAGCATTAAGTAAGTGTTGTAGTCGAGACCGCACTAAGTGAGACCAAGACAGACCCGAGACCACAGAGCCCCCGAGACCGAGACATTTAGGGAGCGAGGCAGAGTCAAGACCAAGACCCTGAACTACCACTGAAAAATCCTTACGGTGTGTGCAGCGGGCGTGTGACTTTCACATTAACACCGGGGAGGTCGAAGACGTAACCGGGGGATACAAATCAAATTATGAACGAATTGAAAGAGGCGTTTTCCTTCAAATCACAGTAATGAGGATAAATAGCCAATCAGTGGTGGTCTTGACCGGTCTTGATTTAAAAACCCGGAGTCCGCCCAGTCTGAGACGGAGACAAGGCTGAGAAAAACTTCCTGCTGGTTCCGACACAAGTCAGAGACCTTCAAAAAGTCCGATTTGGACTCTACAACACGAGCGTTAACTTATAAGTTTTTCTTCCCTGAGACTTTGAAACTGGTTCAGTCGAGTCCTGTCCTCTGGTTAAAAAAAACCTCTCAGCTATGTGGTGACTCACTTTTCCTCTCAAACAGGACTGACTGCAGCTCAAAGCGTTACATTTTGTCATTTCAACAAAACCCCCGCAGGTCAAGCAGACTTCACTCACCAGCTTGTTGGGGTAACGTAACAGAACAGGTTGGACCGGGACTCCGACGAGGAAGGCACCTGACGACAGCCGGAGGAGAAAAAAAAAAAGAAAAAGAAGAGAGACAGAGCCGATGTTAGAGAGGAGAAGTTAATCATCCTGGACAGAAAAAAAAAAAAAAAACATTCAGCTGCTACGCCTTTTTTCTTCTCATACCGACCATTTTTAACTTCTGCACACAGACGGTGATCATGTGTGGTAAGTGCTGAGACCAGATCAGCTGTCCTACTCACCGGGTTTGAATTTGATGAGGGCTCTGCCGTTAGTCGTGGTTCCTTCAGGAAAAATCAGCATCTGACAAAGAATTAAGAGAAAAGACATGAAGACAGGGCGCTGAGGATGAGGATGCATCTCCTGCAGGTCACGTTTATGAAGTGTTTAAAGAAATGGTTCATTAAAGCACCGCAGAGATGAGCGAGTGAATCTCCTGCAGGTGAACTCACACACGTTAAGGACTTTAAAGGTTTTAAAAAAAAAATTAATTTATGATGTGAAACAAAGAAACAAGTGTGTGCTGTGTCTTTAGACCCGAGTGGCGTCTGTAGTTTGATACAGACAGTCAATAAACTACTCCTTACCTTCTGTTAATCCTTCTTGAACACATTCACACACACACATTCATTCCAAATCCCTCAGTCCATATTTTCATTTTGCTACGGGTTACGTTGACAGCACATTTCTTTTGGATATCCTAAATCAGGCCCGACTCCCAAAGTAGCATTTTCCACTTAAAAGATGCCACACAGGGTGGGCCAGTAGACTGTCCTGGTGGTCCAGACTCTCTGATTGTACGTTCCAGTAGCCCGCTCGGGGTCAGTTAAAATACTGCTTAACTTTTTTTTTTAAAACAGACTCGCATTATGTCACATCATTTGCCTGTGATGCTGCTGGTTTGTCAGTGATTCCTGTGAGATCATCTCGTTAAATTACTGCATTGATGTTATATAAGCATGTGTGTGTGTGTGTGTCATAGTTGAGAAGGCAGCTGCTGCAGACAGTTTCAGTGCTGTCACCCGGTTCGTACACTCTTAATGCTGATTGTGGCTGAATGTCTTTAAAGCAAAGGTTACAGGCCAAAAGCCGGGCGGGGGAGAACAAACAACCTTTAAAGATAAATCACTGAGAGCGTTTTGAGGGAGAGCGACAGAGCGGAGAGACGACTCAGCAAATCATTCAGAGATCTGCCGATTAATACCAACACATGGAGACGAGAGTATGAAAGATAAGGAAGTTCTGCTCAGGTATTGTAGGTTTAACTTAATCAATAGAAATCTGCTGACTCAGCCTAACTCAGCGTCACCGACCAGCCGCCTAATAACTCACTTAATGTCTTACTTTAGCATCAGATCTGTTTATTATCCACATCTCGAGGGTAAATCATTAACTTTTATTTCCTGAATCTAAAGATATGTTCCAGGGTCAGAGGTGACAACGGTGGGGGTCGGTGAGTTTTTAAAGCCATTCATCCAGGGGTATCAGATAGTCTAGGTTATGATGCGTGCACCATGTACAGAGGTTATAGTCCTCGTCGCTGCAGCCGTGTGTTCCAATCCAGCCTCGGTCCTTTGCTGCATGTCATCCCCTACACTCTTCTCTAAACATTTCTTATCTTTCTTCAGCTGTCGTCTCTAATTAAGGCAAAAATCGGCCAGAAATATAACTAAACATAAGCCTAGAGGGCTAATGACACTGAAAGTCAACCCCTGAGACGTTTTCCCCTCAGGGATAAGTAAAGTGTTCTAAGTCTTAGTCTAAGTATGTCGGTTTTTGTCAGGTTTGTTTGCATTGTTTTGCGGATGTATGCTGAGCATGCAGAATATGCGTCTCTGTTTGGAGTTGGAGTGCACTCCATGGGATGCAGCGTCTGCCTGTTCAGTGTCAGGACTTTTGGTTTTAAACAAATTAACTGGTCAACAGTTCATGTGGCCGAGGGTCGTCAGAGTTCAAACAGCTGCAGGGAGAACTGGATTGAGCATCGTCTTAAAATTTAGCAAACCCATGATTTGACTGTTTGGAGGAAATTGTGAGTTCTGTAAACAAGACTACAACCAAGATCGAAGCAGATCATGCATTTGTCTTATCACTGATATAAATGCAAGGAGCAGCAGGTTGTCTTTCTAAACAAGGAGCAGCAGGTTCTCTTTCTAAACGAGGTGCAGCAGGTTCTCTTTATAAACGAGGTGCAGCAGGTTCTCTTTATAAACGAGGAGCAGCAGGTTCTCTTTATAAACAAGGAGCAGCAGGTTCTCTTTATAAACAAGGTGCAGCAGGTTCTCTTTATAAACAAGGTGCAGCAGGTTCTCTTTATAAACAAGGTGCAGCAGGTTCTCTTTATAAACAAGGTGCAGCAGGTTCTCTTTATAAACAAGGTGCAGCAGGTTCTCTTTATAAAGGAGGTGCAGCAGGTTCTCTTTATAAACAAGGTGCAGCAGGTTCTCTTTATAAACAAGGTGCAGCAGGTTCTCTTTCTAAACGAGGTGCAGCAGGTTCTCTTTATAAAGGAGGTGCAGCAGGTTCTCTTTATAAACAAGGTGCAGCAGGTTCTCTTTATAAAGGAGGTGCAGCAGGTTCTCTTTATAAACGAGGTGCAGCAGGTTCTCTTTATAAACAAGGTGCAGCAGGTTCTCTTTATAAACAAGGTGCAGCAGGTTCTCTTTATAAACAAGGAGCAGCAGGTTCTCTTTATAAACAAGGTGCAGCAGGTTCTCTTTATAAAGGAGGTGCAGCAGGTTCTCTTTATAAACGAGGTGCAGCAGGTTCTCTTTATAAACAAGGTGCAGCAGGTTCTCTTTCTAAACAAGGAGCAGCAGGTTCTCTTTCTAAACAAGGTGCAGCAGGTTCTCTTTATAAACAAGGTGCAGCAGGTTCTCTTTATAAACAAGGAGCAGCAGGTTCTCTTTATAAACGAGGTGCAGCAGGTTCTCTTTATAAACAAGGAGCAGCAGGTTCTCTTTATAAACGAGGTGCAGCAGGTTCTCTTTATAAACGAGGTGTAGCAGGTTCTCTTTATAAACGAGGTGCAGCAGGTTCTCTTTCTAAACAAGGAGCAGCAGGTTCTCTTTATAAACAAGGTGCAGCAGGTTCTCTTTCTAAACAAGGAGCAGCAGGTTCTCTTTATAAACAAGGAGCAGCAGGTTCTCTTTCTAAACAAGGAGCAGCAGGTTCTCTTTATAAACGAGGTGCAGCAGGTTCTCTTTATAAACAAGGTGCAGCAGGTTCTCTTTATAAACGAGGTGCAGCAGGTTCTCTTTATAAACGAGGTGCAGCAGGTTCTCTTAATAAACGAGGTGCAGCAGGTTCTCTTTCTAAACAAGGTGCAGCAGGTTCTCTTTCTAAACAAGGAGCAGCAGGTTCTCTTTCTAAACAAGGTGCAGCAGGTTCTCTTTAGTGACCAATCATTAAACTTCTCACCTGAGGCCAGTAGCCGTCAGAGGTCAGCCTGTCCGAGAGCTCGGCCACCGCCTTTTTCCTCGACTCGGGGTCGTTTCTGCTCACAATCACCGACTGGTTGAACCCCAGCAGCGCTACAACAAACACAAGAAATAAAAAACGGTCACACAAGAAGAAAAATCTGATCCAGAACCAAGAGAGCAGAGACAGAAGTGCTAAATCGGGCTTTTATTGTCCCTACTTATTTCTCTCAACATTACTCTGGGTTGTCAGCTGAGGAGACCCTGAGTCCAACCCATGATCACAATACTCTATGTTGTAACAAATTGTTTCCCACCTGAGATATAAAAAATAAATCCTCTAAAAACATGGATTCATCAATGCTTTCTGAAAATGACCCTGCCAGGCTGGAGATATCAGCACTCTGCTTTTGGATGCATTTCCTCCTATTCCTCACCTCCTATGACCGGCAGGCTGGTGTTCTCCGACCGTGACACCACCGTGGCCAGCTGGGTGGGACACAGCACCAGCATGTCCAGGAAGGTGCTGTGCGGGGCCACCACCAGCACCGGCGCCTCCTTCAGGTCCGCCCGGCGCCCTTTCACTTTGACCCAGGGGAAGCCCAGGCAGAGGAAGACGGCTCGGCTTAGAGACAGGATGATCGAGTGGAAGAACCAGCGGCGCCAGCCCTTTATGGGACGAGAGCGCTCCTCCTCGGACAGG